GGCTTTTCTTTTCTTTTTTTTTTTTTTTTTTTTTTGGTTTTTCGAGACAGGGTTTCTCTGTGTAGCTTTGCGCCTTTCCTGGGACTCACTTGGTAGCCAGGCTGGCCTCGAACTCACAGAGATCTGCCTGGCTCTGCCTCCCGAGTGCTGGGATTAAAGGCGTGCGCCACCACCGCCTGGCCTAGGGCTTTTATTAAAATGGTTTCATGTAGCTCAGGCTAGCCATAGACTTGCTATGTAGTGGAGGATTGCCTTGAACAGCAGATACTCCTCTATCTCCCAAGTTCTGGGATGATAGATACCTGCCATACATACCGGGTGTCTTGCGAGCTGGGAAACAAGTCCAGAGCCTCCTGAAAGCCAAACAGGCCCTCTAGGAACTGAGCGACATCCCTACCCCAACATTAACATTTTTTTTTAAATGTGCATGTGTGAGTGCATGTATGTGTGGGTACCACATGCATGCCTGGTGACTTTGGTGGCTGGAAGAGGGCTTCACACCACCTGAGAACTGGACTTTCAGGCAGTTATGAGCCACCACGTAGGTGCTGGGAACAAAACTTGGGTCTTCTGTGAGAGCAGCGGTGGTTTTATCTCTAAGCCATCTGTTCAGCCCAGATATTAACTTTTTTTTTTTAAAGTGCCCAGACCTGTGGTTTTTACAGAATGCCTTGTTAGTTTAATTTCTCTTGCTAATTTTTCATGGTTATAATCAGATCGTGCGTTTTGGGGCAGGAATAGCCTGAGACTGTGTGAACCCGTCTGAAACAACGAAATAAGACTCGTTAGCCATTAGGTGTGTGGGATGTTCTAAGTACTGAGTGCTGCTCATTGGGTCCTCGGCCTTCTCAGCATGTTAATCTCCACCGTACAGGAAACAGAGTTGATGCTCAAGAGAGTTAATGTAGCCAGGCGGTGGTGGCTTTAATCTCAGCACTCGGGGAGGCAGAGCCAGGCGGATCTCTGTGAGTTCGAGGCCAGCCTGGTCTACAGAGTGAAATCCAGGAGGGGCACCAAAACTACACAGAGAAACCCTGTCTCAAAAAAACAAACAAACAAAAAGTTAATGTAGCAGGCCTTTGTGTCACGTGATGGGGGGTTTGGGAGACGACCTTAGAGTATTATCTCAGCTCGTGGCCTCAGAGATGTCCTGATGGAGAGGGTGTGCCAGAGACATCAGTTTGTGCCGTGGCAGCCAAGAGTCTAACGAGGGGACCTAGGAAGTGACCAGCAGCAAGATACAGTCCCTGAGGATACGCATCCGGTGACCTTCCCGTCAAGTCCCACCTCCCATGTTTCACCACCTCCCAATAATGCTGTTGTGGGAGCCATGGAGGAATGACCCCCTGCCATTGATTAGGTCAGAGACCTTGTGAGCGAATCGTCTGTGGACATGCTCGCACAGTACCCCAGGTGCTTTACTAATCCCCTGGGCTTCTCCTAATCCAGTCAAGTTGACAGTGAAGATTATCTATCACAAGTCACTTGCCAGGGCTCAAACCGGAAGGTGCCTCAAGAGCTCAGAGCCTCTAAAGAATCTTACCTAGGCAGGTTCTGGCATTGCTTGGAGAATGGGATGATCCAGGGGCCCCGGGCCTACCTTGCAGAGCTACAATGAGCAGGAACTGAGTTTTAGCCACAGTTACCCAGGGCCTATCTTAGCCACAGTCCCCACACTCCCTCTTGTCTCACACTGGGCCGCTTAATATTACTTCCCTTGGACTATCAAGATGGCTCATCAGATAGAGGAGCTGCCCCAGAGTTTGACCACCTGAGTTCGTTTCCCGGAACCTGCATGGTAGGAGGAGGGAATCAATTCTCACTGGTTGTCCAGACCTCCACACACGCAGCATGGAACTTGCGCACCCAGAGTCACACACACAGCAAATGTGATTTTAAAGACATTGCTTACCCACCTCTCACAGGCCCTGAGTTTGAGATATGTCTGTCCTGGAACGGCAATATATAAAGTGGTTTTGTTTGTTTTCTTTCTAATGGTGCTGAGATTCAAACTTAGGGCATTGTGCATTATAAGCATCCTACCGATGTGCTATATCCCTAGACCCTATAAAGTAGTTTAGGCGCTTAGTATTTGTCCCATTCCCATCACTTCTTATCCACTCTGCATCGTATGCACCAGGACCATTCTCTTGAGAGATACTCGGTACAACTGGGAAAGGTCCAAGTTGTACCTCTGCTCCCCAGAGATGCCTGGATATCACTCACATATTAAATCACCTTCCTGCTTCTGCAGTAACCCTGCTGGAATTACTCCTGGCCAATGACTCTGGAGTCTAATGTTTTGTTTCCTGAATGTGTCTGCATAAAGAATCACCAGGCTGGCTTGTAGAATGTAGATTCCCCAAATATCACCATCTACCATGAGCTGATGCAGTTTGACAGGTTGGTCTGGGTATGCCTCTGGAATCTCTCTCTAACAAGTACCCAGGCACCTTGAGTAAATACTCCTTAAGAGCCTAGGCTCAGAGCTGAGGTTGTAGCTCAGGGGTAGAGCGTTTGCTTGGCCTACACCAGGCTTTGTGCTCCATCCCAGCACCAAAGTAGATGATGAAATAAAAACACAGTCTCTCTGCTTTGGCTTTATTTTTATTTTGGATACAGTAGATTATTCACTTGCTTCCAAATTCAGCAGTAAAAAGTTGTTCTTAAACCAGGCCGTGTGTGCACCACCATGCCTGGGAAGGATCTGTATACTTCCACTACCTAAGAGTATAGAGACCTGGGCTGGAGAGATGGCTCAGCAGGTAAGAGCACTTACTGTTCTGCCACAGGACTCTGCTTAGATTTCCTGCACCCACGTGGCAGCTCACAACCATTTGTCACACCTTCTTGGGCACCAGGCATGCACGTGGTACACAGACACACATGCAGGCAAGCACACAAAAATAAAAGAATATATAGGGCTGGGCAGTGGTGGCACATGCCTTTAGTCCCAGCACTTGGGAAGCAGAGGCAGGCAGATCTCTATGAGTTCGAGGCCAGCCTGGTCTAGAGTGAGTTCCAAGACAGCCAGGGCTACACAGAGAAACCCTGTCTAAAAAAAAAACAATAAGGGTAGGCACAGTGTTATCTTGGGGACTTACCAACCTGCTTCCTCTAAACTAGCAGAGAATAGTAGGTCACCTCACAGGTTACGTATTCACAGGAGAGGCAACTAAAGCTATCCAGACCCAGCCTGGTGCAGAGTAAGCTTAGCACCTGTGTAGTTATGTTGGTCCTACTTCGTGGAGTCAGGTGCAGTCAGTACCACACACCCTGAAGCAGGTCACCATATTTAGAATTTAGGGGCAAAGAAAAATGTCATAACGTCAGTGTGAGCTTTTCTGTTTTGTTGAGGCTGTCCTTGTTCTCACTATGGAGGCCAGGCTGGTGTCAACCCCTTACTGATTCTCTTCCCTCCATCTCCTGAGTGCTGGAATTACAGGTGTGAACCACCACCATGCCTCACTAAGTTTGGGGCATTTGCTGAGAGCTTTTTGTTTTGTTTTGTTTTTCGACACAGGGTTTCTCTGTAGCTTTGGAGCCTGTCCTGGACTAGCTCTGTAGACCAGACTGGCCTCAAACTCACAGAGATCTGCCTGTCTCTGCCTCCCGAGTGCTGGGATTAAAGGTGTTCACCACCACTGCCCGGCGAGAGCTTATTTATTTATTAATTATTATTATTATTATTAAGAAATATTTTTCATTCATTTTACACACCAATCAAAGATCCCCCTCTTCCCTCCTCCAGCACCCCCCAGCCTTCCCCCCAACCCACCCCCCATTTCTCCCCACAAGAAGGCAAGGCCTCCCATGGAGAGGCACATCCAGTAGAGGCAAGTCCAAGCCCCTCTCCCTGTCTCAAGGCTGCACGGGGTGTCCCATCATAGGGAGTGGGCTCCAAAAAGCCCCCTCGTGCACCAGGGATGGATTCTGATTCTACTGTCAGTGCTCCCTGCCCCCCACAACCCCCCCCCTGCCCCCAAGCAGATCAGGCTGCACAATTGTCTCGCCATGCAGAGGGCCTAGTCCAGTCCCATGCTGAGAGCTTTACTGGCAGACGTTGAGCTGAATCATTCCTTTGTAGTGTGTTCGATGTAGCATGTTGAGCAGGGCATAGTGGTACAGGAGGCAGAGGCAGGCAGATCTCTGTGAGTTCTAGGCCAGCCTGGTCTACATAAGTAAGTTCCAGGACAGCCAGAGCTACATAGTGAGACCCTATCTCAAAAAAAAGACAAAGCTGGGCGGTGATGGCAAACACCTTTAATCCCAACACTCAGGAGGCAGAGGCATGGAGATCTCTATGAGTTCGAGTGATCTACAGAGTGAGTTCCAGGACAGCCAGGGCTGTTACACAGAGAAACCCTGTCTCGAAAAAACAAAACAACAACAAAAAAAAGCATAGTATGTTTAGCAACATCCCTGCTCTCGGATTCCAGTAGCATTCTTCTCTGTCCACCATGACAACCAGGAGTGTCTTCAAGCCTAACCAAATGTCCCCAAGGAGCCGGGCGAGAGCAAGACTCCTAGGTGGTTTTAAACTACTGTCTCACAATGCTGCCCCTGCTGAGTGTGTAGCCCAGGCTAGCCTCAAACTCAGAGATTCACCTGCCTCTACTTCCAAGTATGTGTATGTAGGGCACGGGCTGCCACAAGTATCTTGCGTACTCCTGGCTTTTAATCCTCGAGATTCCTGTGTTAGGCTAAGGAGGTGGGGACCTGCTTTAATCTCCAATCTTGGTGACCATTGTGGCAGAGAGCATCCTCACTCTTCTCTCTGGGCTAGCTCAGAGGTGGCAGAGCTGAAGCCACTTTCTTGCTCCACTGCCTCAAATCCTCAACTCCTACACACACACACATACACACACACACACACACACACACACACACACACACACACACACACAGTGTGTGTCAGGGGACCCACACAGTTGGTCAGGCTGCCTCTCTCCTCCTCCCTCAGGTTCCTCCCACCCCTGCTCAAGTCATAGGTCCTTGGAGCAAGGCCACCAGGTCCTTCTTTATTTTCGTGCACTCTGCTATAAGATCACAGGGCAAAGGCTTGAAACAAGCGGGTCCCCAAGGCCAGCCAGGGATTAGCAATACCCCACCTCCATTGGCAAAGAATGCCCTAGTGTCTGGAGGGGTGGGTGCCCACTGAGGGAGCCAAGGGCGTGCCCAGAGTCGCTGCTTGCTCCTCCTGCAGGAGCTGCACTGGTCTGAGCAGTTTGGTGACAAGGGCTGGCGCATCTCCTGAGCCTTGATGGGCTCGCTCGCTCGCTCTACAGGCGGCGACGGCGCTAGAACTAGTATTGGAAACACAGTCACCGACACCCTCTCCCTGAAGCCTCGCGATCACCCCAGACAAGGCCCCATAAAGAGTTGCGTCGGTGCAGGCCGAGGGCCCCCAGCCTTACTTAAGAGTCTTGAAAAGGGACAGACCCCCTGACTTCAGCTCAGTGCCCACCTCAGGAGGCTGAGATTGCAACTCAGGAGATCTGGGCAGGCCTGGAGTGCTCTTCTAGGAACACGAGTTTCAAAGAGGAGTAGGAGGAGTAAGTGATACCAGCATTGTTCAGGGACCCAGGGCTGCCTCGGCCTCCTCGGAGATGGCAGAAAAGATGTCTTCTCACCCGGCATCAGGTATCTTCTTCCTCTGGGTTCATCAGAGCAGCTATTGCTTCCCTCAGCACACCATCTGGGTCTTGAACCTCTACCTGGATGGCAGCAGGGGGAGGGGATTGGTCGGTTGGTTGAAGAAGTATGGAAGGCCCCAGGATACCTTGCTAGAGATGCTCTGCTTGGAAACAAAACCTCATCTATAGTCCCTGGATGTGTGGGGCTGCGGAGGCTGGTGGGTTGTTTTTTTTTTTTTTGTCTCTCTGGCTTCAGGACCACCCACCTTAGGGATGGGGAACTGGGTGGGCTTCGGGGCCTCATCACGGCCAAAGTCAATCATGGTGCCACACTTGGCCACGTCGTCCACCCAGAAGCCTTCAAACAGCTGCCCACGGTCCAGATGAAAGAAACGCCCATGCCCGTTCTTCATGCCTCTCTCCCAGCTGCCCTCATACCGGTTCCCATTCTCTAGAGAAAGGACAAGATAGCATGGGTGCTGGGTGCAGGGACGCAGCCAGGACTATCAGGCTGGGCCCCATCAGTCCTAGCTGCTGACAGGGGTGTGACAGAGAGTCATTAGGCACTAGACAGTAGGTGTAGTGTCCAGCCTGACACCATCATCAACGTCGTTTAACCTCAAATCACTTCAAGAGATTTATTTTTTTGTTGTTGGAGACAGAACCTGGCGCGCGCGTGCACACTCAGCACGTCCTCTGCCTCTGGGGCTATGGCTCTAAGCTCCGATTTGTGGTTTTTGTTGTTGTTTTTTTGTTTTGTTTTGTTTTGTTCGGCAGCGCTAGGGGCTTTGAGCCTGGGGCTTTGACCATGCTAGGTAAGTGCTCTACACCCCCAAGCCTTGGCCTGAAACTCCATATGTAGACTAGGAATTTGGAGCCCCACCTGTGTCTGCCTCCCAAGTCCTGGGATGAAAACCACGTGAGTTTTATCTTTTTAGACAGCCTTTTGCGACCTGGCTAGCACAGGCTGGCCTCCGAGTCGAAGCAATGCTGCTGATCCCAGGTGTTAGGGACCATGCTCATCTCCCATTTTTATTTCCTTGAATGTGTTGGTGCATCATAGTGCATTTGTAACACACAAGCAGGAGGTGAGAGGCAGCTCTGGGGAACGGTTCTCTCCTCTCACCTTGTGGGATCCAAGATCAGACTCGGGTCAGGTCCCTGTGGAAGTGCCCTTAACTCACTGAACCATCTCACAGGCCCCTCTCATTTATAAAAATTTTAATCACAAAATGTTAACCATAAGGAAACTGAACCACAGTTCAATAAATTGCCCAGGGTTCCAGAGCTAGCACTGGCTCACGCCAGGATCTGAGCGCATGCAGGCTTGCCCAGAGTCCAGGCCATGAGAAATGAAGCACCTAGAAAGTTTGCTCTGCTTCAGCAAATGCTCACTAAACGCAGGTTGTGCACAGTGGAACCTCACTGAAGGCAGGCTTTGCTAAGGAGTCTAGGGCCGACAAGACAAGACTGACCGCCGAAGCCCTCCCAGCTGACCCAGGGCCTCAGCTTAGTTGGATCTCATTGGAAGTTGGAATATCACTTTCTCAGGGCCAACAAGACTAGAGTTATGTATGGGACCTGGCTGGTGGGGCAGGGAGTCTGGGGCCAGCTCTTTCCGGGACGGGGCGGGGCCAAGAGGCGTTGGGGGCGTGGTTTCATGGGGGCGGGGCACTCACTCAGCCGCAACATGCCCTCCCCTTCAGGCTTGTCCTTCTGCCACTGGCCCTCGTAGATGTTGCCATCGGGGTAGTACATGCGTCCCCACCCGCTGCGCTGGTTGCCACACCACTCACCCTCGTAATAGTCCTTGGATCCGAAAAACTGGATCCCATAGCCCTGAAAGCAGGAAGATGTCCCACCATTTGCCGGGTTACCCAAGTCTCACACCTGAGCGTCCTCCTACACGTAGCCATGCATTCAAGCTGAGGTGAAAGAATTCTAGAACTCTAGCTGCGTGTTTCGATCCATCCCGTGCACCGCCTTCCTACAGCCTGAATCGGTTTTCTCTCTTCTGAGGTCCCCTTGTCTCTGGCCCCACTTCCGTTCACCCTCCATACAGCCACCAGGAGGATATTTTATAGTCCATAGGATCACCCATCCAACTCGGATTGCAACACTCAGTGACCTCCTCAGCTGTCTGCTTAGAAACATAAATGTGACATTTGAAGACCAACCGCAGGAAATCGGGGCCTGTTGGAGATCACACTCAAGGTGCCTGGGTTAAGTCTGTCGCTCGAAAACCTCAATGCCACTTCACGATTCTCTTCCCTTCCCAGGGCAGAGAAGACCTGCTGCTGGACATCTTTGTTATTTCTTCTTACCCTTGGACACGTGTACCTGGCTAGCTCCCTGCTTCTTTGGGTATGACCTCCTGCCCTGTATTTTCTAGGCTAAATGACGCCATCTCCCAGCCCCAGGGAAACCACATAAAATGCAAAGTGTTTAAGCTCAGTCTTCCCACTAGGAGCAAAGAACATGAAATCTTGGGCTCTGAAACTTGGCTAAACTTGTCGGTTAATTAGTAAAACGGAATACCGATGGTGATAAGCTGTTACAAGAGTCAGTTCATGTACCACATAGAGCAACTGCCCAATAGCAACACTATTATAATTATCAGGCTCCATGGTGAACATCCATCCACGTTTTCAGAGTGAATATATCTGCAGTAGTATGGACAGTTGTGGATGGAGGCTTCCCCTCTGGTTCGCTTCTACCTCCTTCCTCCTCTCTTGCCCCATGGCCAAGGGTGTGGACCCTGCTCTTGCTCCGTTTTCGACCCCCTCCCTCTCCAGCCATGGTCTCTCTATGTCGCCCAGGCTGGCCTCCTACTCACTATCCTCCTGCCTCCACGTTCAGAATGCCGAGAGTGCCGGACTTCACCTGACCCAATTAGACCCTGCTTCCTAACCTTCCATCTGACTTAGACCAACAGGAGGATTCTCAGAATGGGGTACCAGGGAGAAGAAAGCCCGGAAATGAGGGGGAAGAGGGTGGAGGAGTCTTTGCCTGCTGCCTCCTAGTAGCCATAGAGTTTTTAAAGGGTTCCTTCCTGGGGCCCCCACATCTCTTGCTTCCTGTTTTCTTGGTTTTGTTTTGAGAAGCAATACAATTTCCCCACCCCTTCCTTCTCCCACCCACCAAACCACTGGTCCTCCTGGCTCTAGGTCCACCCCCCACCTTTTCCCTACACACACACACACACACACACACACACACACACACACACACACACACACACAAGGCATGCTGGGAGCTACTCACCGACTTCTTATCATCTTTCCACCAGCCCGAGTACACCCTCCTGTACTTTCCAGTCTCCGGGTCAGGACGGCTGAGGGTGCCATAGCCATCTCGCTTCCCAAACTTCCAGTCCCCTTCATAGATAGCACCACTCTTCCAGACCTGTGTTCCTTTCCCTGGTGACACATGGATGGGCCAACACTGTAGACCGTGGCCACCCGGAGGCTGAAGGCCATCCGCGGGTACAGACCTCAGGGGACTTCTGCCCTGAACAGTTTCTTCAGAACTGGAATAGAGCCTGTACCTCATCGTTAGACTGTAAGCGTGAGGAAGAAAGGAAAGTTCCATAGCTAAAAACAGTGATTCTCCCGCTCACAGCCTCACAGCCAGACTGTGATGGCAAACCTCGAGGAGAGATGAGGCTGAGGCAGGAGGATGGTGAGCTCCAGGCCAGCCAGGGCAACTTCTAGAGACTGCCTCTAAATGAAGAAAAAAAGAGACCGGGAAATGGTGTGAGATCATAAGTTCGATTCCCAGCAGTGAAACAAATAAAGAAAAAAGAAATCCTGTTGTCTACAACATGGGTGAACATGAACGACGTTAAAATGAGTGAAATAGCCAGGTGGTTGTGGCACATGCCTTTAATGCCAGCCCTCAGGGGAAAGAGGCAGGTGGATCTCTGAGTTGAAAGCCAGCCTAGTCTGCAGAGTGAATTCCAGGACAGCCAGGGCTACACAGAGAAACCCTGTCTTGGGGTTCGGGGGTCAGGGGAGAAGAGCGAAATAAACCAGACTCAGAAAGACAAATACCAAGGGATGTCACTTTTATGTGGACTCTCAAGAAGTCAAACTCATAGAAACAGAGAATAGAATGATGGGTACCAGGAGCTGGGAGGAGAGAAGGAGGGAGATGTGGGTCAAAGGCTATACACTTTCAACATAAGGTGTCTGCGTTTTGGAGGACCAATGTACAGCATTGTGATTAAGTCAGTAACTAAATCAGGCTGGAGAGTTGGTCCAGCCAAGCAGGATGGATGACGTGAGTTTGATCTCCAGCACCCACAGTGGAAGGAAAGAACTGACTTCCAAAAGTTTCTCATGTGCCATCTACACACATGCTGTGGCAATGCTTGTCCTTATCTATACACATCATACATGCCTGGATTTATGCTGTGCTGGCACTAGAACCCAGGGCCTTGTGCATGTCAGAGAAGTGATTTACCAACTGGCGGCTACATCTTTTTTTTTTTTTTTTTGGTTTTTCGAGACAGGGTTTCTCTGTGTAGCTTTGCGCCTTTCCTGGAACTCACTTAGTAGTCCAGGCTGGCCTCGAACTCACAGAGATCCGCCTGGCTCTGCCTCCCGAGTGCTGGGATTAAAGGTGTGCGCCACCACCGCCCGGCGGCGGCGGCTATATCTTTAACCCCATATTATGAATTTTTTTTCCTTTTGGTTTTTTTTGAGACAGGTTTTCTCTGTGTAGTTTTAGTGCCTGTCCTGGATCTCGCTCTGTAGACCAGGCTGGCCTCGAACTCACAGAGATCCACCTGGCTATGCCTCCCGAGTGCTGGGATTAAAGGTGTGTGCCACCACCACCCGGCTGATATTATGAATTTCTGAGACAGGATCTTATCCTATTTCCCAGGCTGCTCTTGAACTCATGATCCTCCTGTCTATGCTTCTCAAGGGTTTGGATTACAGCTATTGCTACTATCCCTGGCCATAATCAGTCTGATTCCAATGAATAAATCTAAAGAATGAATGAATGAATGAATGAATGAGTCACCACGAAGGAAAGCATTGTAAGCAAGCATCCATGTCAAGTCTGCACGCAGCATTCCTCAATTCCCCGGTTGGCCCCTTAGCAGGCTGGAATTTTCTGTCCCGTTCTCATTCCCTAAACAACTTACATCAGAAGCTGCTGGCGGGCTGGGAAAGGTGGTCTGGCTGCTTAGTCAGGGTTTCTGAAGGGTGACCAACCACCGGAACAGTGAAAGTGGGGTGCCTCCCAGTAGGGGTGAGGACATGAAGAAAAATGTCCTTAACATACACCCCTCTGGAAATGGTTTTTGACTATGAAGAAAACGCTTAGAGGAAGTTGTTGGTCCTGCACGGTGACACCTGGAGTCAAGTATCACCCACTGTCCCCGGCGTTTTCTCCACCGTCTTCTGGCCACAGCCTCCAGACTGAAGAAGAGAGCACATGATCTGACCTAGGGCTCAGCCAATCTGAGTCTTTTCCTTGGATTTTTTTGGGAGGGGGGCGGGGTGGAGACAGGGTTTCTCTGTGTAGTTTTGCACCTTTCCTGGAACTCACTTTGTAGACCAGGCTGGCCTCGAACTCACAGAGATCTGCCTGCCTCTGCCTCCCAAGTGCTGGGATTAAAGGATTTTAAGTTATTATTTTTAAAGATTCGTTTTTATTTATGTGACTGTGTGCATATGCCATGTGACTGTAGTACCTGCAGAGGCCATTAGAGGGCGATATCACCCCCCAGGGAGGTGAAGTTACAGGTGATTGTGAGCCACTGGATGTGGGTGCTGGGAACTGAACTCGGGTTCTCATATTTTCTTTTTTTGTTTGTTTTGTTGTTATTTTTGAGACATGGTCACACTGTGTATCCCCGGGTAGCCTAAAACTTGCTATGTAGACCAGGCTGTCCTACATCTCGCAGATCTCCCTGCCTCTGCCTCCTGCGTGCTCGGCTTAAAGCTGTGCATCACCACGACCAGAGAACAGTATTTGCTCTTAACTACTGAGCTATCTCCCGGGGCCCAACCCTTGGGTTTTTAGATCTAGAGCAGGTAGGGCTTTCGGTCCTATCTCAGTGGTAGAGCCCTTGCCTGACAATATTTTAAATATTGTGAAATAAAATATTCACGTTGCGAGATAAAAATTTGATCTAGGTTACTCCTGACAAGGGTGGACTCACCCTTCATCCAGCAGGTGTTTGGCACACACAGCGCTGACTAGCCTGTTCCCTGCTATTCAACCACGTTTGTCCTGGAATCAGGGAAGACAAAGCTGGGGGCTGGAGGGATGACTCAGTGGTTAAGGGCACTTGCTGCCTTTGCAGAGCACCTGGGTTCTGTTCCCAGCATGCACTTGGCAGGCAGCTCACAACCACCTGTCACTCCAGTTCCAGTGGGATCTAATGCCCTCTTCTGATCTCCATGGGCACCAGGCACTCACATGGCATATATATATATATATACACGTATATATATACACGTATATATACACACATCAAGGCAAAATACTCATCACATTAAATTAAATAAATTTTTCAAAAAAAAAAAGACAAGCCTCACAGTGGTCCATGAGGCATAATATACTTGCTGGGTAGTTAGCTGTTACAGGCACCTGAGTGTCTGTCTGTCTGTCTCTCTCTCCTTTCCTCCCTTCCTCCCTCTCCATCCCTCTTTGGTTTGTTTATTCCATTTTTGAGACAGGACTTCAGTAAGCAGCCCCAGCTATCCTGGAACTTTCGATGTAGACCAGTCTGGCCTTGAACTCACAGAGATCAACCTGCCTCTGCCTCTGCCTGCATGTTGGGAGTAAAAGTATGAGCCGCCACAGCTAACCACTATTCTCTGTTTCTTCCTTCCTTTCTTTTTTTTTTTTTTTTAACTTCATTTTGTTTTGAGATAAGGTCTCTGGTACAGCTCAGGCTGGCCTTGAACTCACTATATAGCTGAAGCTGGACTTGAACTCGTGATCTTCCTGCATTGTCTTCCAAGCACTTGGGACTACAGGAATGCACCATCACACCTGCCCCCGCCCCCCATCCCCACCACTTTGTTTTGTTTGAGAGAGGGTCATAGCCCAGCCTCGATCTTCCTACCTCAGCCTCCTGAGCCCATAACCGGAAGAGTAAAACCACACCCAGTCCCGGCCCACTTTCTCCCATTACCCTCTCTGCTCTAGCTACACTGACTTCGAACACTTGAAGCTCAGAGTATGGTAATGACTACCTCAAGACTGTGGCGGGTAGAACTGGGATTCTAACAGCGCAGGCTCATGGATTCTAGTGTAGACAACCCAGGAGGGCAAGAGAAGAGGGCGGTGAAGTCCGGAACGCAAGACTGGAGTGACAGACGTTGTCAAGTCTTTTAATAAAGCTCCCCCTTCCCCCTTCCCCTTCTCCCCTCCCCTCCCCCACTTCCCCGTTAGGATTTGCATTGTATTACCAGAACCCCTTCGCCCCCTGCTGGTCAGGCCTGAACCCTGGCACACAGGAGTCATCACGGAGTTACTTCATGAGGTCACACTGGTCCTACCTGTGTCCTGAGGCTCAGACCCTGAGCTGCACCTTCTGTAGAGCATCGGGGCTGAGGCTGAAGCCCAGAACCCCTACTGCAAGCCAAGCTCTTATCGTGTCGACCTTTGCTCGGGTCAACCAGCCCCAGGCTCAGGCAGCCGATCAGAAGGCAGGGAGGGACCCAGCTCCGTTCTCCACAGCCCCAAGTTGGGCTGGTTTCTGAAGACCCTTATATCATTGTCCCTAGACCCTTGCTCGGCTGAAGTCGTGGCTGAGATGGGCTTCAGAGCCAAAGCATGGGAAGGCCCCTTGCTGGTCCTGGTCAACATTCACACCCTAAGGAGGCGTGGAAACAGCACCACATGTCCCTAATGAACTTGGTACACTGCTTTTGGTTTGGGTTTTGTTGTTTGTTTGTTTGTTTGTTTTTGAGACAGGGTTTCTTTGTGTAGCCCTGGCTGTCCTGGAACTCAGTCTGTAGACCAGGCTGGCCTCCTGGAACTCACTCTCAGACCAGGCTGGCCTCCTGGAACTCACTTTGTAGATCATGCTGGCCTCCTGGAACTTTGTTGACCAGGCTGGTCTCCTAGAACTCATTTTGTAGACCAGGCTGGCCTCCTGGAACTTTGTAGACCAGGCTGCCTCCTGGAACTCACTTTGTAGACCAGGATGGTCTCCTGGAACTCACTTTGTAGACCAGGCTGGCTTCCTGGAACTTTGTAGACCAGGCTGCCTCCTGGAACTCATTTTGTAGACCAGGCTGGCCTCTTGGAACTCACTTTGTAGACCAGGCTGGCCTCCTGGAACTCACTTTGTAGACCAGGCTGGCCTTCTGGAACTCACTCTGTAGACCAGGCTGGCCTTGAACTCACAAAGACCCACCGGATTCTGCCTCCTGAGTGCTGAGATTAAAGGCATGGGCCACCACCACCTGGTTGTTTTGTTTTGCACTGCCCGCCCACTCTGACCCCACACTGACCTCTGACCCCTTGAGGGTCCCTGGCTCACCATGTTTTAAATTGTCCTTCCATTCGCCCACATAGCGGTCGCCGTTCACAGCATATACTTGGTGCCTCAGCCCGTTCTTCTGGGCTTTCCAGTCCCACCCTTTCCACAGGGGCTCTGATTTTCTTGGACACTTGGTGACCGGCATGTCGGCTGCTTCTGTGGTGTCGGAGGGTGCTGGTGAGAGGTTAGGAGCATCAGGGGCTCAGCGTATCCCGTGTATCTCTGGGATCCTGGGGCTTCCTGGGGAGGTGCCTGCCTGCGGTCCAGTGGGGCAGGTCATGTGTGGTCTGAGTCCCCAGGGCAGGTGAGCAGCCCTCAGTGGGGATCCTGCTGTGCTGTACTGACCCAGGGCAGCTCCCCACCCCCCTTGCATTCTCCTGGGGCCCTTCTGTGGGGATGTGATGGCACAATCCCTTGGGAACCCAGGGTTTGTGATGACGTCAGGGAGAAGCCGCCCCTGGAAAGAATGACGCTCACACACTTCATGACTAGGCGGACCCATCAGAAGGGGTTTTGGGTGGAAGAGGAGCCCAGTAGGAAAGATCAGACGGTGGCAAGTGCTGGGACCACTCCAGGAGAGTCAGAGGGTATCAGGCAGACGGCTACCTTCTGCACACCCTGCAGGAACATCCCTGGTCCGGCACCTGCACTGCTACCCGCTTTGGCCCTCCTTACCTGGTCGGTGGGACAGATGGTGGAGCTCGGGGGTTGCCTTTCAGCTGGGACAAACCTACAAATTAAAGAGACTGAGCCCAAGGTGACCAACTGCCCCTGACTGAAGGTTTGACTATACAGTGAGATCTCTCAAAAAAACACAGTGGGAAAGTCCCCCAACATCCTTCCACATCTGACCTCTGACCTCGGCTTGACGACTCTGCTCAACCCCCTGGCTAGCTTCTTCTATGGCTCTATCTGCTAGAACCTATAAAGAAACAGTGGGTGGCCCAGGGCCTCCTTCCGGTGTCCGGGAACCCCCATTTGTGCTCCTCACATCCCCCAAAATCTCCCTAGAATCTCCAGCGAGGACATTCATGTCTTCCCGTCTATCTCCATGGAGTTTGCTCAGGGGTGATTTAAAAAAACAGTCTTGTCCAAATCCTTGGGAACCCTGTTCCCCCCTCAACTCTAGAGGTTCTGAGGCTGCACAAACTCACTCCCATTAAATCTTGCACCAGCAGCACACACACAGGTACTGCCAGATCAAAATCACCTCAGGGTCGAGCCAGCTTCAGGAGATCACGGTATCTCAGCATCCACCCACAGGGCCAGCCTCAAAAGCATGTGCTTCAGGCTGCACGCGGTGCCTGCCCCCTGTGCAGCTGTCCCCACAGAAGGGACCACTCTTTGCTCTCCCTTTGTTGCTACCCTGTTTTGAAACTATTTATTGATTTCGTTTTTCGAGACAGGGTTTCTCTGTGTGAGAGCCCTGGCTCTCCTTGAACTCGCTTTGTAGACCAGGCTGGCCTCGAACTCACAGAGACCCACCTGCCTCTGCCTCCCTAGTGCTGAGATTAAAGGTGTGTGCCACCACAGCCAGCTAATTTTTTTTTTTTTTTAATGGAGTCTTGCTATGTAGCCCCGGCTGACCTGGAACTCCCTATGCAGACCAGGCTGACCTGGAACTCTATATGCAGACCAGGCTGACCGCAAATTTGCATTATTTTTCTTGTCTCTTGAGTACTGGGATAACAGACATGCATCACCACACTCAAGTTCATTCATTCATTCATTCATTTATTCATTCATTCATTCTCTCTGCCTCTCTGTTTCTGATAGGCTTTCCTGTAACCCAGGCTGGCCTCAAACCCAATATGCAGGATGACCTTGAACTGGTGGTCCTTCTACCTCCACCTATCAAGTGCTGGGACTGCAGGTGTGAGCCATCGTGCTGGGTTTATGCAGTTGGAGGATCAAACCCAAGGCTTCATGTATGTAAGCAAGTACTATACCCACTGGTCCCCTGCCTTTACCAGAAGAAAGCATCAATCAGATGCCCTGGGACTGAAGTTCAGACAGCTATGAGCCACCATTTGAATTCTGGGGATCAAACCTGGGTCCTCTGCAAGGGCAGCCTGTGTTCTTAACTGCTGAGCCCCTACACAGTCGGCTCTCCACGGGCCCATTAGTTGCTTCATTGTGAAGAAATCTAGATCCCTGGTAGACCTCAGATGGGGAGTGGGGCCTTGAGAGAGGGGCGGTGGTGGTGGTGCGAGTCTTTAATCCCAGCCCTCGGGAGGCAGAGGCAGGCGGATCTCTATGGGTTCAAGGCCAGCCTGGTTTAAAGCGTGAGTTCTAGGACAGCCAGGATGACACAGAGAAACCCTGTCTCAAAAAAAAAAAAAAAAGGAAGGAAGGAAGGGAGGGAGGGAGGGAAAGAAAGAAAGAACGAAAAGAAAAGAAAAAAGAGATGGGGGCCGTGGTATGAAAGGATTTTGCTCCTGGCAGAATCCTGGGGTTACCAATCTGCATTTGCAATATCTTCATAGGTCTTGAAGACCACCTTTTCCCACTGAGAGTACCCCTGCTCAGCACCATTCTACCGCTGTTCTCAGTGGAGATGACAGGTACCATGTCTTTTCTGTTTCTCACCGCACCCGGTACCTGCACACAGTAGGTCCTCAACTAAGGGACCAAGGGACCCTGGGAGTAGTAATGCAACCTGTAATCTTTTTTTTTTTTTTTTTGAATATAAGGTGGTTGTTTTTTCTTTTTTTTTTTTAAAGATTTATTTATTAATTATGTATACAATGTTCTGCCTGCGTGTATGCCTGCAGGCCAGAAAAGGGCGCCAGATCTCATTACAGATGGTTGTGAGCCACCATGTGGTTGCTGGGAATTGAACTCAGGACCTCTGCAAGAACAGCCAGTGCTCTTAACCGCTGAGCCATCTCTCCAGCCCCACAACCTGTAATCTTAACTGTCGGAAAGTTGAGGCAGAAGAATCACCATGAGTCTGAGATCAACTTGGGCCACAGAGTGAGAGCCTGTTTCAAAAACGCAGGTATCAGGGCAGGAGAAGGTGGCTGGGCTGTTAAGAGCACTGGCTGGCGGGGCGGTGGTGGTGGTGGTGGTGGTGGTGGTGGCACCTGCCTTTAATCCCAGCACTCGGGAGGCAGAGCCAGGCGGATCTTTGTGAGTTGGAAACCAGCCTGGTCTACAGAGCGAGATCCAGGACAGGCACCAAAACTACACAGAGAAACCCTGCCTCGGGGAAAAAGAGAGAGAGAGAGAGAGAGAGAGAGAGAGAGAGAGAGAGAGAGAGAGAGAGAGAGAGAGAGAGAGAGCGCACTTGTTGCTCTTGCAGAAGACTTGGTTTGGTTCCCAGCACCCACATGGCAGCTCACAATGTCTGTAACTCCAGTCCTAGGGAATCCAGTGGTGGCACATGAGTTGTGCACAGAAATACATGTAGGCAAGACACCCATACACATAAAATAAAAAATAAATGAGAGATGAGCAAAAGTTAAGGGAGATATTGGTGCCGTATTAACCCCAAAGTGACAATATGTCCTGGGCTTACTCGGAATTGTAAAAGAATTCCGCACTAGATTCCCGTATGGTGTCAAAAGATGTTACCACTCCATCTGTGTATCACAGATTCTACTTTTCTTTTTTTCCCCCGAGACAGGGTTTCAGCCCTGGATATTCTAGAACTCACTCTGTAGACCAGGCTGGCCTCGAACTCACAGAGATCCGCCTGCCTCTGCCTCCCGAGTGCTGGGATTAAAGGCGTGCGCCGCCACCGCCGGGCATAGATTCCCCTTTTGTCCCCCCATTTTTCAGAACTTAAGAAGAGGTAAAAGTGGACCAGAAAAGAAAGGCTTGCAAACTGCCCAGGTTGTTTTGTTCCTAAAGAAAAAAAAAAGAGAGAGAGAGAGAGAGAGAGACTGATGTGGACACTGGAGGGACCGGGCACAGACAGCTGGGTATCGTTTCTGAGCTCCAGCCCCCCTGGGTCCACCTGGCTCACCTGTAATAGCAGCCTGGGGCTTCACCTTCAGCTAGAGTTGCGCGCAAGTCCGGGCCCCTGGAGGTTGTTATGGCAACAGCAAATCGAGCTGGCCGTGTCCGCCTCTTCCTGCAGAGGCGGGGGTAGCGGGAAATTTTAAGGGTAAGGAAAAATCCTATCTGTTCTTAGTCTCTCTAGGACGGCTTTGAGTCCCTTTGGGAAGCTCTGGAGACCGTCTCCCAGGAAATCGCATAGCACACATATTACAGAAGCAAGTTCTTGCTCTGCTCACCACGCTCACAGCTTACACTAACGCCTCGAAGACCCGGGAAGACCTGCCTAGCCCTTCCACTATTCTCTTTGAGCTGTTCCCCTAAGCCTCGCACTCAGCCCCCTGCCTGAGCTACACACTTGCTTTCCCGCTGCTCCTGGAGAGTGAGCCTCAGGCTTTGGGCTCTGGAACGGCTGCTAGGACATCTCCCCGCTACACTAAAGCATGGGTCTTGTCCTTTCTCTCAGAGCTTAGTTCAGACATCAGAACTCACCGAGGAGTTCTCAGAACCACCCGGTTTAAAATTGGAATCTCCACGTGTTTCATCCCTGTTAATGCTGTTAAATGTTTAAGCACTTAGCACCGCTACTAAGACATCTCTAAAGACAAAGGTTTTTGCATTCTCAGTTGTGTTTCGTTTTGGTTTTCTGAGACAAGGTCTCACTATGTAGCTCTGGCTGTCCCGGAACTCACTCTGTAGACCAGGCTGGCCTCACAGAGATCCGCTTGCCTCTGCCCCCCCAAGCGCTGGTATTAAAGTCATGCACAACTATACTCGGCTCTCATTCTCACTTTTATCTTGTGAAAGAAAGAAAGAAACAACCAGCAACACCAAACCCCTCAAACATAAACAGAAAAAAAGGGAAGCCAGTGAGATGGCTCAGCGATAAAGGCGCCGAGCCTGGTACCCTGAGTTAGAGCCTTGGGACACACACGGTGGGAGGAGAGCTGACTCCTGCGGGTTCTCTCTGACCTGCACACACGCGTGCATGCGCGCGCGCGCGCGAGCACACACACACACACACACACACACGCACGCACGCGCATGCACACGCACACACACACGCGCGCGCACAGAGACAGATACACACATATGCTGGGAGGAGAGCTGACTCCTGCGGGTTGTCTCTGACCTGCACACGTGCACACGCGCACAGCGCGCACACACACACACACACACACACACACACACACGCACGCGCATGCACACACACACACACACACACACACACACACGGAATACAAATTTCAAAGACACAAGGAAAACACAGCGGTAACAAACAGCGATACTTCCCCTTCCTGCACTCAACCCGTGCGGCCATTCTTGCCTAATCTGAAAACAGAGAAGGTTTTGTAGGTTTGTATTGTTTGAACTCACAGAGATGCACCCGCCTCTGCCTCCAAGTGCTGGGATAAAGGCGTGCGCCACCAACCCTGACTCTTTTTTTTTTTTTTTTTTCCGGAGCTGAGGACCGAACCCAGGGCCTTAGCGTTTGCTTGGCAAGCACTCTACCACTGAGCTAAATCCCCAACCCCCAACCCTGACACTTTCGCCTTTCTCTTTCTGCCCTCAGCCTCCTGATGCCCTCGGAGAAAAGCGAGCCGCTCCTTATGTCCCTGTGATTTGAATTCTGTACAGGAATTAACTGTTTCTAAATGCCTATCTCAAGTACTCAGCTGGCCCAGCTAGGTTCTAGAGTCTGCCCTAGCTTACACCGGTTCTCCTCATAACATTCTACTTTTCCCTCGGGCACCCAGCCAGCCCCAGCAGCCAGCCTTTACCCTGGTACAAATTGTCCTTTGGCCACGGGCCCTGTCCCCGAGCCTCCCGGCCACCTGCTGAGTCGCACCTTCAGGTCCAGGCACTCTTCCTTTCTAGGTCAGACACCAACCCGACACGCTGCATCTCAGGTCCTCACTGTGAGAAAGCTTTTTGTTTCGGTTTTTTTCAAGACAGGGTTTCTCTGTGTAACAGCCCTGGCTGTCCTGGAACTCACTCTGTAGACCAGGCTGGCCTTGAACTCAGAGATCCGCCTGCCTCTGCCTCCTGAGTGCTGGGATTCAAGGCGTGCGCCACCACCACCACCGCCACCCGGCTTTCTGATGGCATTTTTAAAAGATTTATTTTTATTTTATGTGTATAAGTGTTTTCCCTGCATGTATGTCTCTGTACCATGTGAGTGCAGTGTCGGTGGAAGCCAGAAGAGGGTGTCAGATCCCCTGGAACTGGAGTTGCAGACAGTTGTGAGCTGCCATGTAGGTGCTGGGAGTGGAACTCGGGTCCTCTGGAAGAGCAGCCAGCCCTCTTAACTAGTGAGCCATCTCTCCAGTCCTGGTGGCATTTTTCGCAAGTCCATAAGTAGGTCCCTTGGACTGGCCAGTCAGTATATCACTTTTGGGAGTGTCCATCTCAAATCCTCTTTTGTTGCTGTTGTTAAAGATTTTTTAAAAATTTTTTATTTTATGTGTTTTGAGTGCTTTGCCTGCATGTGTAAAATGTACTGCCTGCCTGCTGACTGCAGAGGTCAGAAGAGGGAGCCAGATACCCTCGAACAGGTATACCTGGTGGTAAACCTCCATATTGGTGTTAGGAACCAAACCCCAGTCCTCTATAAGAACAGCAAATGCTCGTCACCTCTAAGCCATCTCTCCAGACTGCAAATACATTTATAATAATAATCACTTGCCAGATCTGCAAAGTTGGCATTTGACCAAACTCTTCTCAAGGACTTCATTTCCAAAAAGAAGGGCGGGGCTACTGTGTAACGTTGAGTGAGAGAGGTTCCCACACACACTGCATATTAATATTTCCTTGGGGAGGCGTGGTCCTGGAGACATTAACCCACTCCAAAGCTTTGGCTTAAGCCTGGATTCTATGCCCTAACAAAGAAACCCAAGACCTCGATCAGAATTGTCCAGACTCACTGGGCACCATTCATGCTTAGAGTGCAACCTAAAATGACATGGAGAGTGGGACTTCCTGGATCAGGACAACCTGGGTCTCAGCCTTCCCAGAACTACGAGGAAGGACCTACCTGTCTGGACCAGTGAGTCTCCTTGAATACAATGGACAGAAGATGGAAACAGCCCAAGTATCCGTCAATGGGTGAATGAATAAACAAAATGCAGTCTGTCTCGAGAACAGAATATTGTTTGGCTATAAAAAGCACGAAGTCACGACACATGCTGCAACATGGATGAAACTTGAAAACGCGATGCTGAGTGAAGACTGCTGGACACCAAAGGACACGAAGTATCCGTAGTAGACCAGTCCGTGGGTACAGAAAGTAGATAAATGGGTACCAGGGAGTGACATCTAATGAGTACAAGTTGTTGTTGTTTGTTTTGTTTAGACAGAGTCTCACTGTGCAGCTCTGGAGGGCCTGGAACTTGCTATGTAGGCCAGGCTAGCCCCAGTCTCACAAGATCAGCCTACATCTGCCTCTGAGTGCTGGAATTCAAAGTGTGTGCCCTGCCAGGCGGTGGTGGCGCGCGCCTTTAATCCCAGAACTCAGGAGGAAGAGGCAGGCGGATCTCTGTGAGTTCAGGACAGGCTCCAAAGCTACACAGAGAAACCCTGTCTTGAAAAACAAACAAACAAACAAAAAAGCATGTGTCACTGCCCGAGGCCTCAAGCTCTGTGTGCGGCTGAGCGTGACCTTGGATTTCTTTCTTTCTTTTTTTTTTCACACAACAAAGCTTTATTCATCCTCAACGACTAAAGAAAAGGCAAGCTCACTGGCGTGTCACTTCAGTATGCTGTCATCTTGAGCTTCTGCCAGTTTTCTCTCAATCCATTTCAGCTCATCTAGTCTCTTCTTTTCCTCCGCGGCCACCCTCCTCTCCTCCTCTGCCCGGGGTTTTAGGTAACTATAGCGCTTGGCGCCGTAGGCCATGCCGAGGACCAGGGCTGAGTATCGGCAGAGCTTGATGAGCGGAGAGACCTGAACTGGGGGAACCATCTTGTTTGTGACCTTCGCGCCGGAAGCTCAATTGAGGCGGGACCTTGGAGTTCTAAGCCTTCTATTGCCAGCTCCCAGGTGCCAATGACAGGCCAGGCTTATTGGGGTTTCTCTTTTGGGGGTGATACAGTTGTGCTAAAATTGACTGTGGTGATGGTTTCACAAGTCTGTGAGAAGACTTAAGGCCAACTGTATACTTTAAATGAGTGAATTTTATGATCTATGAGTTATATGAATTATATCTCAATAAAGCTGTTTATCCAGTCTTCCATGCAGAAGGAAGGAGCGCCCTCTAGGGGCTCTCAGAAGTTTAGAGGAAGTCACAGGCCAACAGGTTGTTTTTTTTCTTTTAAGACAAGAACTCACCATAGAGTCCTGACTGGCCTGGAACTCTCTCTGTAGACCAGGCTGGTTTCAAACTGAAAGAGATTCAACTGTATGAGTTCTGAGATTAAAGGAGTGCATCAGTATGTTCTGTCAATATTTTTTGGTGCTGAGCATAGAACCTAGGGCCTTGCACGTGTGAACGCAGTCCGTGAACCACCACCGAGCTGCGTCCTTCCATCTCCCTGCTCTTCCTTTTGAGATTTTTTTTTTCACTAAAACAGAAATCACAGAAATATTAAAGAGAGCAATACAATATAGTTTTGGGGAAGGGCAGTGGTGGCGCACGCCGTTAATCCCAGCACTCTGGAGGCAGAGGCAGGCGGATCTCTGAGTTCGAGGCCAGCCTGGGCTACAGTGAGTTCCAGGACAGCCAGGGCTGTTATCCATGTTACACAGAGAAACCCTGTCTCAAACAAACAAACAAAACACAACAACAACAAAACAAAATACAGTGTAGTCTTGGTTTTGTTTTTTGAGATACTCACTTTGTAGTCCAGGCTGACCTCAAACTCATGATCCTTCTGCCTCAGGTTCTTGCATGCTAGGGTTAGAGGTGTATGCTCACCCGTCACTTTTTCTCTTTTAGTGTTGAGGACGGAATCCAGGACCTCAGGCATGCTAAGTACATGTTCTACCACTGGATTTCAGTCCAAGTCCTTGTTGAACATTCCACTGAAGTGTGAAAAATATGAATGGATTTTTGTTGTTGTTGTTGTTTTTTCGAGACAGGGTTTCTCTGTGTAGTTTTAGTGCCTGTCCTAGAACTCACTCTGTAGCCCAGGCTGGCCTCGAACTCACAAGAGATCCGCCTGTCTCTGCCTCCAGAGTGCTGGGATTAAAGGCCTGTGCCACCACCGCCCGGCCATGAGTGGATTTTTTTTTTTCTGACAACGTCTCCTGTATGTAGCCCACACTGGCCTCAAACTTGTTTTATGGTTGAGGATGATCCTAAACTCCGGATCCTCCTGCCTCCACCTCCCAAGGGTGTGGATTACAGGTGTCTACCAACATGCCCTGTAGGGTATCGCCTCTGGTGAAGACCAGCTGCCCCTCGGGCTTTCTCCTTCAGGAACAATGTCAGAAGTCCATTGTAGCTACGTGGGCACCTCCTAGTAAGGCTGCAGATTTCCTCCTCTTCCCCCCCTGCCCGCCCCCCACACCTCCTCACTCCCTAACCTCTGTGGCACTGGCTCCATGGAACAGGACAGGTTCACAAGACTTCCCTACCCTAGAAAGTTCCACTGTGCAGGACCGCCTTTGAGGGATGGGCTTTGCCTGCTGGCCTCCATCCCTTTTTTGCCCATTCATCCGTCCATCCATCTGTCTCTGTCTCTCTATCTCTCTGTCTCTCTCTCTCTCTTTTTACAGACAGGTTCTCATGTAGCCCAGGCTGGCCTTGAACTCCTGGTTGCTCTTGACTCTGTCTCCAAAGTGCTGGGATTAGAGGCAGGCGCCACGATGCCTGGACTCTCCAACATTCTTTAAAAAAAAAAAAATGCTCTGTTAAAGCCAAACATAATGTCTACGGGGATAAGCCAGTGGAAATCACAGTGTTCAAAAATAGCTGTCAGGCAAAGCAATAGAACTAATAAATTATCCCAAGGGGAAAAAAAATGCAATGGTCTCCCTAGCAATTAAAGAAATGAAAATTAAAATAACTCTACCATACTATTACATATTGTCTAGACGAGGAAAAGTACGTAAAAGAATGGACCATAATATCGGCTGTCCTATGGGCTAAGAGAGCATTACACACACCTGGCCTTGCAATTAGGTAAATCCCTCTGAGGAACTTTCTGGAACTGCTGTCTTGTGAGTGAAGAGTGCCATTTATGGACTATTTATTCAATATAGGGTTAGAAGGCAGCATAATATTTAGCACTTATATACTTTAATAAAAACTTACTTCTTGGACTGGAGAGATGGCTCTGTGGTTAAGAGCACATACTGACCTTGCAGAGGACCCAGGTTCAAGTCCCAGTACCCATGTTGAGTGGCATACAACTGCCTGTAACTCCAGCTCCAGGGGATCTGATTTTTCTGGTCTCTGACGGCACCTGTAATCATAGGCACACACACACCACTCAAAAAAAAATTACTTCTGACAATCCCGTGAGACTGGTGGATATTGTCTGCATTTTAAAATTCAGCATACCCTTAGGCTTACTGGTGAAAGCAACATTTTTAGAAAAAAGAGCAAGGAGATAAGGTGGCCAAGATTTAGTGTCAAACCTCTTGACCTTGGAAAGACCACCAAGAATGTCATCCTGATTGGCATTTCATAGAACTACATTCAAGGAGAGAGTGGTGTTGGGTATGGGAAGAAATTTTTTTAAACACATATTTTATTTATTTTATTTTATTATTATTTTTTTTTTTTCTGGAGCTGAGGACCGGACCCAGGGCCTTGCGCTTGCTAGGCAAGCGCTCTACCACTGAGCTAAATCTCCAGGCCCTAAACACATTTTTTTTATTTTGTTTTGTTTTTTGTTTTTCGAGACAGGGTTTCTCTGTGTAGCTTTGCGCCTTTCCTGGAACTCACTTGGTAGTCCAGGCTGGCCTCGAACTCACAGAGATCCGCCTGCCTCTGCCTCCCGAGTGCTGGGATTAAAGGCGTAAACACATATTTTAAATTGAGGGATTTTGTTTGTTTTTTGCCTTGTGGCTGTCCTGGAACTAGCTCTGTAGACTAGGTTGTCCTCAAACTCAGAGATCTGCCTGGCTCTGTCTCTGAGTGCTGGGATGAAAGGTGTGTGCCACCACTGCCCAGCTTAAATTGAGTTTTTTAATAGTAATTATTAATATAATTGTTATACTTTTTTTTTTTCTTTTTTGAGACAGGATCTCTCTGTGTAGACCTGGCTGTCCTGGAACTCACTCTTTAGACCAGGCAGGACTTGAACTCAGAAATCCACCTGCTTCTGCCTCCCGAGGGCTGGGATTAAAGTCATGCGCCACCACCGCCCAGCCTAGATAATTAATTTTAAAAAGCATTTTTGAAGCCAGGCATGGTGGTAATTCCAGCGTTTGGGAAACTGAAGCAGGAGTATCATAAACTCAAGGCCAGCCTGGTCTACAGAGGGAGACCCTGTCTCAAAAGACAAAAAGCAAAGGCTGAGGAGGCAGCGCAGTGGTTAAGAGCTGCTCTTCGTGAGGACCTGGGGTCTGTTCCCGGCAGTTTACTACCTTCTGATACTCCGGTACCAGGGGATCTGACGCCCTCTTCTGGCCTCCTGGGGCACAAGGAACACACCTGGTGCATAATGCATGCAGGCAAAACACCCATACACATAAATAAATGTTAAGCAAAACATTTGGTTGTACTCAGCCAACCGTACTATAACGTGAACTTAAAAACTTCATACATTAAAAACGTCTGAGTTTAGTTTTTAATCACAATAAAGTAAAACTATAAATCAAAACCACAATTAGGTAGCACGAGATTCTGGCTCTTTAAAAGCGGGGCTGTGGGGAAAGCGAAACTCACAAATCAGACGGAGGGTGTGGCTGACGTCATAAACTTCGTGCTCGTTTTAACTGAGCATGCGTACCAGCTCGCTACGGCGATCGCCGCGGTCCTGCTGTCGGTGCGCATGCGCCTGGTCACCCTCTCCCCCCCCCCCCCGCCCCTCCGGCTTGGCTCTCGGCTCCGCCTCCTTGCGTGGGCGGAGTCAGTCGCGTGAGTTCTCGAGACCCCCCCCCGCCCTGGTCCCGCGCAATTACGGGGCCTGGCCTCTCTGCACATGCGCACTCACCCACGCTCGCCTGGGCGGGCCTCGCGCCTGCGCTCTGGACGCCCTTAGCGGAAGTGGGTGGGGGAGGGGCGGGCTCGCGCTTCTTCCGGGTCCCGAGGAGGGCGGGGCGGAAAGCGCGGCCGGGGTTCGCGGCCCCGCCCCTGCTGCCTGGGTCCCTTCCAAGTGACGTGAAGTCACCGGAATCGAGACACAGAAGCCACTTTCCGATTTTAAAAGGGTTTCACAAAATGACCCTTGTCTACGTGAAGGAATCTTTTTTCTTTCACTTTTTTTTTGTGGACGTGGTTCAGTTAGCCCAGGCTGGTCTCGAACTCCCATCGTCCTGCTTCAGCTTCCCAAGTGCTGGCATCACAGGCCAGCGCCACCGCACCCGGGAAACTTTTTTTTTTAATTTATTTTCATTTTATGTGCATGGGTGTCTTGCCGTGATGTCCGGTTCCCTGGAACTGGAGTTAGACAGTTGTGAGCTGCCATGGGGGTGCTGGGACTTGAACCCAAGTCCTCTGGAAGAGCAGTGTCCGTACTCTTAACCGCTGAGCCATCTTTCCAGCTCCCACCCCGGGAAACTTTAACTTTTGTATTTACCCCCTAATGATTTCTTAACATTTTTTTAATTCTTTTTTTTTTTTTTTTTTTTGGTTTTTCGAGACAGGGTTTCTCTGTGTGGTTTTGGTGCCTGTCCTGGATCTCGCGCTGTAGACCAGGCTGGCCTCGAACTCACAAAGATTGGCCTGGCTCGGCTTGAAGCCACAAGAAACATTTTAGGAACCAACCATAGTAGCTCGGGCCAGTGATCGCAGCACGTGAGAGGCAGAGGCCAGAGTTCAAAACCCTCCTTAGCTACACAGGGAGCCAAGAGGCCAGCCTTTGTCACATGAGGCCATGTCTCAGAGCAGAAACTCCCTTTGGATGCCTCCACGTGGGCAGACCTAGAAGTATTAGTAAGTGGAAGTCCGCGTCCGGTCTGTTAGGCAGATTCGTTGAACGCAGGCTAGTAAAGACCTCTGCCTAGAACCGTGTGAGTTCTGTGTCCTGTTGGATCATCAACTTGTTTCCATAAACAAGTGTGGAAAGCAGGTAAAGTTCAGTGTGTGGACACCACACTGAAGGCTGGGGACCCTAGATTGTAATTCAGCCTCTGTTCTTAAAGGGTTCATGGCGGGAGGTCATGTGGTTCAGATGGGGACGTGGTCTTGGAGGTAGGTATGAGAGAGTAAAGGACTGTGGAGAGTGTGTTGACATTCTCGTAGGGTGACAGCTCTGCATATCGAACATCGGAGATTGTGTCCAATAAATACAGCGTTGCTGGCCTTGGGGAGAGGAGGTCTAGGTGCCAGGAGAGGATATTGGGACCAAAGTGAAGGGTCAGAAACCACGCGTGTTGTTGAAGATTCAGTCGTGGTAGGAAATGAAGCAGAAAGTGACTTTTAGACCAAGATGACCTATTTAAAAAGGGAGAGGTTGATAAAAACTAAGGAGGTTTGTTTACATTTTTGCAATTATTTATCTGTGTACGTGTACATACGTATGTGGTACCCATGCCATGGCGTGAGCAAGGAGTTCAGAAGACAACGTGCCCGGAGCTGCCTCTCTCTTCAGGATTTGAACTCAGAGCCTCGGGCTTGATGACAAACCCTCCTATCCCCTGAACCACTTCTCTACGCCCCCTAAGAAAGTCTTGACCTGATACATTCTTGGGCCAAAACCCTTTGGGCCAATGAGACTTAGGAATCCTAATCAATTTTCTAAAAACCTGGAAGGTTAGGGATTCCTGGGTGCCCTGAGGAAGTTGTTCGGGCATTCTGTGGGAGGAAAGGTTTTCTTATTTGTGTGGCTGCCATCTCCCCTAAGCTACTTACCCCTTGAGAAAGGGGGGTTCAGAAGAGTGCTAGGCCCAGAGAGCAAACTTTTCAAG